CTGGGGCCTGCGAGCCGAAATCAGTGTCATAACCAATTGACAAGATCAGGGGGAAGGGCTTACTTGGTGAAATTTGTAGCGAAAGTCTTGAATGATCTCAGAGAAGTGTTTGATGACCCAATGCTCCTTTTTCTTGACCACCGTACGGCGCTTATAATCAGGCCTCTCGGGACCATCAAAAACAAATATGACGGTGATTGGATAACGAAGAAGATGGGCCAAGTGGAAGAAAAGTGTGCGAAGCTCTGGATTTTCACCAGCTTGAGTGTGGAGGCCCTGCACATAGAACACGGCCTGGCATTCAACAATCCATACACTGTCTTGCTCATCAGCACTATGTGCAAGATGAGCAATTCCATCCTACCTTGCATCAATTCCTACAACCAAGGACCGAGTATTTCGTGCATTTCTTAAAAAGCCTTCGCGAACAGCCAATTCAAGTAGCGACACCAAGCGTCGCACAGAGTCCAATTTCTGCAGAAGTAAGATAAAGATCATCTGAGGCAGAACTCCATACCTTCCAAACATTGTGGATCCCCATGGTGGGCAGAGACGACAGAATAGCAGTGTTGGGGCAGATGTCTCAGTATCTCTGCCATAGTATGAGAGACGACTTGGTGTTTGCATCAACAAAGAATTCAAACTCCGCACGACGCGTCAATTCATGGTCGCGTCGACCATACCCAAGTGTCATTGCACGTAGTATCTTTCAAAGAAAAAAAAGAATATTCATCATTCAATGGGTATGATGATTTTTTTTAGCTCTGCCCAATGCTGAACCATTCGTCAACAGATGGTGTCCTGTTCTGCATTTAAGAAATAACCAGACATAAGTAAGAAATAAGTCGAAGGTAGCTTAAATTTAAGCTGGATTTAAGAGAATTTAAGGAGCCAAACGAGAATTTTAGGAGCTGAGAGGAGTGTTGTTATGGACAACTTAGCCATCAAGTACAACCCTTGACAAGATACAAATCGACGGGCTTAGCACCCTCAGATCTAAGCGAGGATCTCATGCTTTTTATACTACTTGATCATTGCCCAAGGTTGAGTGTTTCTCTCTTATTTCGAGAACAACAAGCTGTGTACATCGAATGAGCTGTTCTCGAAACAGTGTGTATTGTGAATCAATATAAATGTACTGTAGTGTAATGTAGAATATGTATGTATCATTGCAATGAGCTTGAACTCGGAGAGCTTCGCGTTGAAACCAAGCGGGCAGATTTACGCGATGTGGATTGTCGATGTCGGCCTAAAAACTCAAACAGTTCAACATCTTGCATGTTACAGAATGGTCAATGCGAACCTGTGGATTGTATTTGGCGTTACGAGGATGGAGTGCGATGGCCTTCAGATCAAGGTGGGAGTCTGTATCCACCATCGTGACAATATCGGGTACGATGCCTTCTACGGCAGTGGCTGTTGGGGTGCACGAATGGAATGGATATTGAAGGGAACGAAGGTCCTGCAATGGCATTGGAAGTGGCAGGTGGCGGCAATAGCCTGTCATGTTTTTGTGGTTGAGGGAATGAACTGGACAGAGACG